TATAAAATCATAAATGCAAATCACTGACATCTTTGTTTATATAAATATATATATACATGTAATAATTCTTACTTTCCATAAAAATAATAATAATTTAATTATTTTTATATTTTTTAATTCATTAAAATATTATATATCACTTATTAATTATACAATATAATTCATGAATTTTTTGATATATTATAAGTTGAATGATAACTAATCTAAAGCATACTAATAATTTAAACTCATTAGTGGATATGCGACATCTTTACCATATAAATAAATATATATATACACATACACATGTTAATAATTTCTTATTTTTGATAAAAATAATAATTTGTTCATTTTTATATTTTTTGATTCGTTAAAATATTAAAATTTTATATATCACTTATTAACTATACAATATAATTCTTTATTTTTTTAATGTATTATAAATTAATGATTATTAATTTGAACTTATAATCCAATAAAATTAATTATTTAAATTTAATAGTAAATTTATGATATTATAGTGATCAAATTAGATTAAATTTTAACAAATTTATTACGATTTTAAATGAAAATAACATTTTATAACAATTATAATCTTTTAATTTAGATAATTAAAACGAGTTAAAAATATAATATAATTTTTTTTATTTATAATTTTTAGAAAAAGGGAATAAAATATATGCTATAAAGTATTATAGCTACCTTAGAATAATGATACTTGGGCTATACTATAAATTCCTACAAGTATGTGGGAATATCACAATTATTCCTATAAGAAGAAGAATCAATTCCAAATATATATAAACTATATATTATATTTCTCTTTAACTAATCCTTTGTATTTTTTAAAATCAATTTCCTAGATGATATGAAAATTTAAGCATATAATTATAAGATAGTAAATGAATAGTGATAATTTTGAAATTCTCACATAAATTAAATATTTTCGGTCCAATTTTTACGTGTGTTCACACTAATTTTTTTTTCTTATACCTAATAAAGCTAAAAATTCACACTAGGACTATGAAATTTAAAGAAAAAAAATCGACGACTGACTCATAAATTCACGAAAAATTATGTTAAAAAATTTTGGAAATTGGGCTTTTTGTAATCTTTTCTCACAAGCCAAAATCGATAAATGATACAACCGGGGCGGTCCATTTATGAAATTTCTATAACTTGTATTTAATAAATATTTTTATACATCCATTGATTTTGTCATTAAATTTATATTTGACTCCCTTTTTAAATAAATATATATACATTTCATATAATATTTTCACAGTACTAATAACACAAATACTTAATATACTACATGTAAAATGACTTATTAGTGTGTCAAACACAAATACTTAATATACTACATGTAAAATGACTTATTAGTGTGTCAAAGGGCTTATCTGTAAAGCCCGGTTACCTGAGCCCATGTATAGTGAAATAATGGGTCATGTGATAAAAATGAAGGCACTTGTGGCATGAGTGTGTGTGTGTGTGTGTATATTGGTGTATTAGGTTTAAATAGGTGTTCACTTTGTGCCTAAAAGGAGTATGTGCACCATATTTTTAGTAGTCGTATAAATACCTCGTTTTTTTAACCGCTTTCACTCTCTCGAAATCTCTTTTACAATTGTTTTTATTCTTGTTTTATTTCGTATTTTTTTATATTTATTTTTGTAAATTCTTACAGATAATAACTAAAAAAAAAATAATAATGAGTTCTTTCATAATGAATATATATAAGAAATGGTTAGTAAGTGTATGTAACAACTCCAATTTTCACAAACGGTTGTAATATCAATCACACCTGTAAGACTTACTCACATTCTTGAAAATAAATAACATGTAATTCGAGGGTTCAAGAGTTTTATAAAACATTTTTGGTGGAAAAAATTGTGAATGAAAGATTCCACGGAATTAAATTGGGTCCATGAATATAAGAAATAGTGAGAATTCTTGATCTCTCTCAATGTTTCTCTCATTTCGAAAATTCAAGATTTGAATTGATGTTCTTTCATTGATTCCTCCTAAATTGCATTGATTTATCTTAAAAATTTCATTTCAATTGAAATTTGATTATTCACCATGTACGAGAATCTCTGCTGAGCATCAATAGTTGAATGGTTAAAGCGCCTAACTCATAATTGGCGAATTCGTAGGTTCAATTCTTACTGGATGCATGCCAATGGAACACTCCAATAAGTCTATTGGAATTGGCTCTGTATCAACGGAATCTCATCATCTATACATAACGAATTGGTTTGGTATATTCATATCATAATATATAAATAGTAAGAACTAGCATTTTTATTAAGATTAAAACTCATAGGGAAGAAAAGAGATTTATATATGGAATCAAATATACAGTATTTACAGACAAAAGTATTCGGTTATTGAAAAAAAATCAACATACATCTAATGTCGAATTACGATCAACTAGGACAGAAATAAAGCATTGGGTTGAAATATTCTTTGGTGTCAAGGTAATAGCTCAACCTGCCTAATTTTCCTTCCATTTGAAACTCATGTATACATATATACTGGTGTGCACTGATTCTCATTTACCTCACTTGCAACACCAAACTCGATTATCAAATGTCAATAATAGAAGTATAAGTAAGTCCATCTAAATGACACATGTATGTATGTAATGATATCAAAACGACCTCACACTATGCTCCAAGTCAATGATAATTACCATACGGTATGCCTTGCTTGTCCCTAAGTTTGAACATACACTTCTGGTACATCTAACTCTTGCTCTTGTCTTACCTGCTCTATAATATATAACACGTAATGAGCTACATAGTCTAATAAGTAAGATTTGAAATTCACATTAAAACAAATAGAACATTTACATCTAACTTTTCGATACTGGGCATTATCCAACTTAACCGTTTTCTCCCTCCCTTCTCCCACTATCACAGGTCATATATGCAATCTCTGCATTCAGCATAGTAAACCCTAACCCACTGCAACAGGCTTTCGCTCTGCTTACTCCTAATTCCCCTCCCAATGAGTCGTCTATTCACAACCATATACCCACATATGTCCTTACTTAATTCTTCCCAAATTAGTCTACCCCAAGCAGGTCTATTTTCCTTTAACCAGAACTTGCCTAGTACTTTAGTCAAACCCCCACCGTAAGTCTCTTACCAACGTTCTGAGTTTGCTTAATAGAGCACTAGTGCCTCTCAAATTATTCAGAACACCCTCACCATACTCCCTTTGTTTCCCATTTCAGTCCCGCTCGTATTTTGTTTTCCTTCCAGCCCCTCTCCTAATTTCTACCTCTAACACTAATTGTCATCAATCCGGCTTCCTTTTTGGCATATTTACAACATTTCCACGACACTTGAGCCACTGGATATTCACCCGTTCACCAGTTACAGCCATCGGATGTACCAAAATTACAAACAGAAAAGAAAAGAGAAAAGTAACCAAACTAAAGAGGAAAGAAAGAAAGAAAACAACGTAGATAATTAATTAGTACCCAGGACATCAACCGCTCGACCCAGCCACTCGGCCAAAGACAATTATTACCATTGCCCACCAATGACATATCAATGCCAATCGCACACATTCGAGGCATCGACCCCTCGATCCAGCCACCGGGCCAACGACAGATAGTACAATTGCCCACCAATGACATACTAATGCCAATCACCCACATTTGGGGCATCGACCCCAAAGATAAATATTACAATTGCCCACCAACGACATATCAATGCCAATCACCCACACTTGGGGCATAGACCCAGCCATTGGGCCACAATAGAATCTCTTATTCTTTCCATCTCGGATCACAAAACGGTAATTATCAAAATTGCCCACAATGGCAATCACACACACCTGGGGCATCGACCCCTCATTCCCTTAGTTCAGAATCTCTCTAAACCCATCCAGTAAAGACCTCCTAGTTCTAAGCTCCTTCTCACGACTTCACACAAAAAGAAGAAATTACAAAGAATTTAGAATGTAGAGTTCTATTCGAGCTATGAAGAGCAAATGGTACTTACCCTCTCGGATCTGTGTAAGGATGATTCAACGCAGTCTCCCCTTTCTTCCTCTCCCCATGCCCCCGCGTTAGTGATGGTGCTCTGGTAAGTTCACTTACTGCTCACCCTCTCCTTAGCTTCCTTCGATTTCACTTTTCCCTCTACTTTGGACTGGGTCTTCTGGATTGGACCGAATAAAGTATTGGGCCGGGCGTTACAAAGTATGTTAATCATTTGCTGATTAACTTAAAACTAATTTGATCGATTAGAATAATTTTTAATCAATTTGAATAATTTGATTTAAAAATAAATTAATTTAATTAATACAAACATTTGTATTACTCATCGTATAGGTTTTAATTAATTGATCAAATTTTTAATTATTTTTATTTTGAAATGCATGAAAAAATAAATTATAGTTATGATATGATTTGATATTTAAATTTTTATTATAACTCAAAAAAGGTTTTTTAATTTTTCCAAAATTGAACATATGCAAAAAGAATTATAAACAAATTTTATCTCAAAAAGTTTTTAAAATTTTATATAAATTATAAAATTTATGAAATTAACATAAGATATAATTTATATACTTTTCTTAATTAAAATAATTTTATAAAAATTTGTCTAAGTTTTCATGTAATGTTACATACGTATGTATAATTTTCCAGTGTGGTTGATGTGAATTCGTACTTTCGGATGGACTTTTCTATGGGGCTGAAAAGGTTGAATTTTCCTTCTTAAGGTTACCACGTGTTCAAAAATGATTGGAAGATAATTTAATTAATAAATTGACCGTTAATTAAAAAAAAAAAAAAGAATATTAATTACCCAATTGTACGCTGGTAAAAAGTGATGTTGAGCCCGCTTTCAAATTTTGAAAAGCTGCCGCAAGCCTCTGTTTACCAATTCATTACTAATAAAACGTCGTCGTGTCGGCTTGTAATTTTATGCAGATGAAATTGAGATCTTCTCTCTGTATTTAATGATCGATGGCGAAGATGCAGAGCTTCTCTTACTCATTATCTTCCTCTTCCATATTCATCATCTGAATTCGCCTGATCCACCAGATAATTAATTTATAGCTTTGATTATCATGTTGATCGGATTACCGGTTCGATTTGCGCTCGTTGCTTTGTATGTAATTTGTCTATCGACTTGTCTGGTTCGTGCTCAAAATCAAACGGCAGCTACTACCGATCCAGACGAAGGTATATGAGCTCTTTCTTCTTCTTTCTCTTCTTCTTCTTCTTCTTCTTCTTCTGCTTCTTCTGCTTCGGACTCTCTGATTTTCAGTTTTATTTTTAAATTGTTTGTTATCGGTAGGTAGAATTTCATTTCTAGCGACTGTGTAGATTAATTCATAACTCTTAATTAATTAAATTATTAGTTAAAAAGCAAAAACAAAACTATATATACGAATGTGATGTGGTGTATAGATTTTTTTTTTTCATTTTAATTTTAAATATAATTTTTATAGTACTTTTGGTGAAATAAACTTCAGTTTTTTTATAAAAATTTTGCATATTAGCAGTAAATTTTTCGTTGGAAATTGTTGGTATCATATTAATTTTACAGATTTAAATATTTTAGGATTAAAAATGCTAATAAAACGTATCTATTTTATTGTTAATTTAATTAATATAAGAGGAAATTTTTTGTCTATAATTGAAATAGACAAATAAATTATTAGGTTTAGGGAGGATTAAAGAGTTAATTATCTTCATAATTTGGTTTAACCGATTTAGGAGATTAATTAATATAAGCAGAGATAATTAATGAGACAAAATGGTTTACATTAATTATCTGGAATTCATGAAAAGAAAAAAAAAATATATCTGGAATTGAAAAGTTTTGGATATTTTAATACTTTATATATTTTTTAAGGTTTAGCTGTCTCCCAATTGTACGGTCAATTTGCTGCTGTTGACGACGACTTAGTAATAAAATATATTATAAATTATTTCAATTAGTTTTAAACATTTTTTTATTATAATTTAATTCAAAATATTTTTTTACATGACGATTTAATTTTTATAAAATAATTAAAGTTTATTCAGATATTTTAAAAATAATAATAATTATTCAGTTATTAATTTAATTAATTAATTAAAATTGTTTCTTAATATTATGTTTAATTATACTATAATTATTTAAAAATTTTATGCTATAAAATTAAAAAAATTTAAATATTTAAAGCAGTAGAAAACTATAAATTATATGAAATGATAAATTTTAAAAATTAATTTAATTATTTATCTTATAATTTATAAATAATATCTTCATGACTTGTTTTTATGTTTTATAAAAAAAAAATATTAAGTATAAATCGAATTGCATATTTCAATTTACCTTTATTAAAAAATTATATTATGCTTAATGTATCTTCATGAATAAGGTGGAATTATAATTAATTTAAACATATTATTTAGTTAATTAAATATATACACGTACATAGATATATATATATATTTAAAAGCTAAAATCAAAACAACACGTGGTGGGTCTGGGTCTTTTTCAAATTAATTAATTAGTTGAGTAATCATGCTTATATATTTTAAATAATTAATAATTTAATTAATTAATTAATTATATTTATTTATTTATATTTTTTAAATAAATAATAATTTTTTGGGTTGAGACAGCAAGAACTCTGAATTCAATATTCTCAAAATGGGGAATAACGGCCCAACCGGAGTGGAATATCAGCGGAGAGGTTTGCAGTGGCGTGGCATTATCAACTGACGCTACCGTTATCGACGATCCTGCTTTCAACCCTTTCATCAAGTGTGATTGCTCTTTTGATAACAACAATCTCTGTCACATCAAAGAACTGTACGTTTTTACTTGTTCCACACTCTCTCTTTTTTATTTTTATTTATAATAATTCAAAATTACTAAAAATAAAATTTATTTGAAAGAAAATATAAAGATACCCGTTTCGGGTTTTTTTTTTTTTTTTTCTTAGCACACAGTTCACTCTTTCCACATTCTTCTTTCATTTCATTTACTTGGGAGTGAAAGACAGAGAGGAGATGTTGGGAGGTTTGAATCCATTAGTTACTGGAAGAAATCTCTGCATACTTGTTCATCAAATCATAGTGAAGCGACAAGTATCGGAAATCGATCCACTCTGCATTACAGTTCTTCATGGATTATTTCCATGGAGGTTGGGTGTTGTTATTTGGCAAAGAAAGGTGTGAGAAGGGAGGAGTGTGTTTCTTACGGTGGATTACTTGTTCATCAAATCATAATGAAGCGACAAGTTTCGGAAATTGATCCACCCTGCATTAACAGTTCTTCATGGATTACTTCTTCCATGGAGGTTGGGTGTGTATTGGCAAAGAAAGGTGTGATAAGAGAGGAGTGTGTTTCTATGGTGGATTAGTGTTGGTTAACGATAAACCTATTCGATAAAATGCCTGAGAGGATCCTAAACCTTGTATTTTTGTTTTTTTTTTTCTTCTCTAAACGCTAATCTGCGTTTACTTAACCCAGAATTCGTCATATTTGATTTTCATTTTGCTCACGTTAAATCCTCTTTACAGGAAGGTTTTCGCACAATCCGTCGAGGGACCAATTCCTGATGAGCTATGGACTCTGACTCATCTCACCAATCTGTATGATTTCTTTTCTTAATCTATGAAGAAATCATCTCTACCTTTGTTTTATACTTGACTACTTCCAGCCACTGCTGGATGCCCGTTTTGCTTTGAGATTGGATCAAAAGAAAAGGAGTTTGGTTCGGTGAACTTCTAGTTCTTCAACTTTTACTGATTAAATAGGAAGAAAACTTGGAACTCATTTGCATATAATGTAATTATGTGGAAATAAGATATTTGAAACCACTTCTTTAATTAACATGTATGTTTCTAATTGATAATCAGAGCTTAGATATAGGTATGGAGCTCATAATTTCTGTCTCTCCTCTTTTTCCCTTTTTTGGAGATCCCATAAAGGGTTCAACTTACGTGGAAGTGAGCCATTAGGACAAAACAAAAAATTTTGATCTCTATCTCGGCTTAATAATTAACTAGAGTATGAATAAAAATGGGTGGTTAATTTTTTTTTATCACATAAATATGAGATATGGATTAGGAGAGTGTCATGCAATTTTCTTTTTCAGTTGCTTGTTTAATGGTGTTAGACAAAGATTTTTGAATTTTTTAAAAGTTGGAAATTAAACTGATATATGCTTCAAATTGAAGGACTACGCATACACTTGACCAAAACTAAGGATTTGGTGAATTAGTCAATAAACTGGTTTTGCTTGAATATACTAACTTTTTGTTACACCTTGTCACTCTCTTTTTTTTTTTCCTACAGGAATTTAGGCCAAAATGTCTTGACAGGTTCCTTGTCTAGATCTATTGAAAATCTGACACGCATGCAATGGCTGTAAGGAAAATTTGATTTTCATTCCAAAACATCTATTGCTTGGAGTTATAAGAGATTGAATGTAGAGGTTTCTTATTCTGATGTTTAACCTATGTTTATTAGGAACTTGGGCATCAATGCATTATCAGGAGAGATTCCCAAAGAAGTTGGAATGCTTACTGATTTAAGATTATTGTAAGTCGATGTTATTTTTAATGTAATTTATCAAAGCACAGATAGTTCTTTTTTCTGCTGAAATGAGTGACTTCCCTCTCAAATAATTTTCATCTTCTCAAACTTCTCTTCTTGCCAGCATTATAATCTTCAATTTTTTCTTTTTTTTGATCAGTTATTACTAAAGAAAAGATAAAACAATTAGATCTTCCCTAAAATGTGCATGATTTAGAAGAGTACATTTCCCGTGGAATGACTTGAATCACCACATTTGGTGGGAAGATATCTATTCGTGGCTACTAAATGTCATTAGTTGGAGTGGTCACAATAGGCTAATAGTCCATGTAGTCTTTTTTTAAAAATTAAAAACAATGACTAGTTGATGCTCCTCCTTCCTCAATAACTTACCGAACCTTGACAATCTAAACTTACAGAAACAATTTTTTTTTTATATGCAGTGCTATTGGGGCAAATAACTTCTCTGGTTCTCTCCCTCCTGATCTTGGAAATTGCCGGAGACTAGAACAACTGTAAGTTTTAATACTTGGTTTTTCTCATTTTACATGCAAGATTTGCTTAATGCTTTGAATTGCACTTACTCGCTAAAAGTAGACCTGGAGTACTTTATAACTATCAACAATCAGTTTCTTTAGCACAAGAGATCAAGATCGTGAAAACTCGTGTTATATTTACCAAAATTGAAGATTCTAAGAACTCTTGACTATTTTAAGATGATCATAGATATAGGTTCCTTGTGGTCCATGAAAACATTTTCTAAGTTTTACTTCATATAAACATATATTTTGATATATAAAAAAACTTGATGGTTGAAAAAGAATTAGAAAAATAAAAATAAAACTATACTATGGTTTTCTATTTGACATGAAATGGGGAATAGGAATAAAACCAAGTCGTTAACTCTCAATCATCTGAGTTAGATGCTCTTGGTAAATAAACATGAATTTGGACATAATAAAATACTGCTTTTATTAAATTTTAGAAAATTATTTTTGTTCATACTTAAGTTAGTACCAAACATAATCATATACACACACACACACATAAATATATGTTACATATACATATATATATGTTTATTCAAAAAACATATATATACATATGTCTGCATCAACATCTATATCTAAATGTATATTTATGTTCTGTTCTCTATTAGCAGGCATATACATATTCATACAGAAATTTATATATACATATAATATATATTGTGTATATATACACATATTTTGGATAAGTAGTACATGTACATTTACATACATATATTGTGCCTTAAAACTATAAATCTATGTATCTACCTATATATATATATATATATATATATACTTATCTATATGTATACATATTTGTATGTACATATAAAAATTTAGGAAACACAAACTAAGAAATTTTCCAATGTACTAAACATGGTCTTAGTGTTTTCCCATGGCAGTACCATTATTGCCTCTCTTTCTTTTACTATCAATAAAGGAATACCTTGGATATGTTTTCTCAAAGATCA